TGGATGTTATATGGCGTGAGGTCACGCCTTCCGGAGGGGAGGGTCAGGGCCCGGTTGCATGAAAGTCCTTAAGTAATTTGACTTAGGGGTATCCCTGAGGGGGAATAAATCCCTGAGGTAAGGGATTTCTTTAGGAGCGTTGCAACAAACGTCTTAACTGTCACCCTTACCTAAGTGTTTATACTAAGCGTTTCACGGTAGTTTCTGGCAACATACGGCAATGGGCGCCGCGGTTACTATAGTTACTACATCTCACAATAAACAGATATGTACACATATCTATGACAATAAACAGAACATAATGAAATACAAACCTAACCAACTAAAACACAGACAAACATTAATTAAACACGAGCGCTGCCCATTTTTGCACTGCTTTTTGTACAGTCGTTACCGAGGAAACCGCTTTGTTTCTGTAGCGAAAGCACCTCCTGCTGACCAATGACGGAAAATTGTGTCCAAATGTGAAAATTATTAACCCATGTTTTGACGCTGCAAACACGCAGAGTTGTAAATGTGAACAGGTGGATCAACAAGAAAATAATGCATTATAAAAATCTAAACAATTAAGGCAGTAAAATATTTAATGTTTAATTATTTAATGCTATTTAACATAATTGCTTGTCAATAATTGTTTAAATTCATATAATAATTGATACTTTTGACTCATCCTGTTTCTTAAAAATGGTTTAAAGGCTGAAATGTGACGTTTATCATTTTATAAAACTTTTTGTTTTTGTGAAAATTTGTATCTGACTTGTAAATCATGCTTTTTACAGTTATTTTACAGTTTAATATGTTACCATAGACATTTCCCTACCCCGCTATTCATTTTGTTTGTGCAGGTCTTACAAAGTCTTAAATTTGAGCCTAAAAATCCTGCATATACCCTGATAAAATATCAAGCTTTTTAAAAAAGATGGTTAAAAAATACCTCCAACAGCTTTATATAAACTAACTCTTCAATCCTTAACTGAGCAGTGGTTTCAGGTTTTTTTCCCCTCTTGTTCATTCTGTCACTGTGTAAATAATAAAGTTATAATTACCAAAGTACCTTAACTTAAATGGTCAGAGCAAAATCTCGTATACTTCAATAGAAATATTTCCTTTAGCACAAGTTTTCACATATAAAATAGAAAGTACTACAGGTACTACGTGACAGGAATCACCCATCTGATTCCGTTGCTCAAGAGTTTTGCCGCTCATCCAAGTCGCTTCAGAAGCTGACATACCTGACAACTCTTGAGCAACAGAGAATCGCACGCACTTAACTATTATAGCTGTAGTACATGTCCTTGTTCTAATATTATTGCACTGCAACTGAAACACTGAAATTGATCTTTATTGATACAAGAACAGCTACAGTGTTACAGTATCTGGATACAATAAACAATTAAGACAAATTATATTTATATTGTTATGTAATTAATGTAATAATTGATTAATAATAATTGTTTAAATTGATATAATAATTGATACAACTCGTCCATTTACTTAAAAATTTATATAAAACTTTTTGTTTTGTGAAAACCTGTAAGTCATGCTTTTTACAGTCATTTTACAGTTTAATATGTTACCATAGTCATTGCCCTACTGCGCTATTTTATTTGTGCAGGTCTTAAAAAATGTCTTAAGTCTTACATTTGAGTTTAAAAATCCTGCAGATACTGAGCTTAAGATGACTTTAGGGAGCTCTTTTGGTCCCTTACATTTATTAAGGTGAAATGGTTACTAAGGACTTTGTAGCAACACTTAAGGGAACACTTAAATAATTAAGAGGAATACTTAATGGCAGCCTTAAGGTTCCTTAAGTTGACCCTTAGGTTTTTTCTTGCAACCCAAGTTTCACTAAGGGCTCCCTTAAC